GGCCGGCCGGGGGAGGCTGAGGGTCTCCCTGGGCTCCTGAGTGCGACGCCTGCTGCTCTGGGCAGCTTGGGGAAATAGCAACTGCATCCTGGACTTCTTTAGTGCTGACCAGAGCCATTATTGTCGATCTGTTGTCGACGCGCAGTCCGGTGGGGAAACTGAGTCCCAGGGCACGTTACACTCAGAATCCTGCAGCAGGTCCTATTGGAATCAGGACCAGTTCTGCCTCCGCACTTTGCCTTCCCTTCCCAGCTGCTTGACAGCAGGAAGGACAACCTCACAGAGGGTTGTGACCATTAAAAATATTATGTTACTTCTTATAATTATCGGGCTATTCATTACATCCTTTAATGAGATAGTGGAAATTAACAACCATCCATAGGGCCCGGTTTAAAACCCAAAGGCACAGCCCTGCTAAAATGGATGATACAGATCAAGACATCCCAGGAGAAGATGTCCTGGCTACTTATGTGAGGAAAGCAACTGAATCTTTATGTTCGCTTGGGAAAATGAAATTGTAAAAATTTGCATTCCACTCCTGGGTTGATACTCTGGAGAAATTCTTGCAAATGTACACAAAGTTCATAGCCTCAGGCCTTGAAGCAGCTGGTGAATCTATCTCCACAAGAACAGGTTCTTGTTTTTAACATGATGGTGTATCCGCACGATGGACTAGTATCCAGCAGAGGCGAAATGAATGAGCTACAGGCTCAAGGATGAATCTTAGAGACAAGAACTGAAGCGTGCCCAAGACCAGTCAGGGAGTGAAACGTTGCTTAACGGGAAATGTTTGGCATTCTTTTTTTGCCAAAGCACAGGGGCCCGTGGCCGCGGGTCAGCCAGGCCAGGGCACAGCCTTTGTCACAGTGATGAGAGTTTTAAAAGCTGAGATGTAGGAGGGGGACTGAGCCCCTGGAATGAGCTTATCTCTCTCTGGGACCTGGGTATGTTCATTATAAAAAAGAGAAACAAAGCAAAGAAGTTCATTAATTCCGGGGCTTTTTTTTCTTCTTTTTTTTTTTCAGGGGAGAGCATGAAAACACTCCCCCACTACCAAAAATTATGCAGTCGAGTTTCCCACTTTTGGAGCAAATGCAGCGTCAGCACATCGGACTGAACGGCTGACGCTTGCCCTGGGAAAACCGCCCTCCGGATCACGGTGTCGCCGGGCCAGGTAAGTATCATTCACTGCGTTTTATAACCGAGAAGCACAATGCCCAGCCATGTGTGTGTAGCCCCGTATTTCAAACGTGGGGAGAAAAGAAGGAAAGGGGAGTCAGACGGGTACCAGGAGACACCTTTTTTTCCAACCTGCTGGTGAAAGTGTCAGCGGTGGCTGTTTCTAGAGTAAAGCTGCTGCTTTCCCCTTTTAGGGGAAAGATTTTCCCCAGATTTCAGATCATGGTCACAAGTTTTTCTCTTCAGTTTTTTTCTTCTTTATATTTAATTACCCAAGATCCGATCAACCACTCTCCAGAAATGTATCTCAGGTTGCACAGGCATTCATTACCCAACATTGTCACAAGCATTCTTTTTTAATACGTCATTGCTGTTAGTCTCCACTGCACCTCGTTCGTTAATTAAGCTTCAGCATAACGAGGGGGAAGAATACCCAGCTCATCAGCCGCATCGCTGGAATCCACAGCGTGTCTCAGAACAGATCACCCAAGGATAAGGACTGTGGGAGCTATTGTCTGTTTTAAGACATTAGATTTATAAAAAATGAACTGTATATATGATGTGACCCCTTTTTCCTTTTCTTAATCCAACGCTGCGAAAGGGTTTGGGAGAGCACCCCAAGGGGTCTGCTCCTGCCCAGGCGGGAGGGGAGGCTGGGCCCAGATGGTGCACCCTCCCCTGTTGCTTGGTGAACTCCCAGGTTATTTGCTTTGGACTGATCTGTAAGTCAATACACTACTGTTTTTAATTAAAACAAAGCTCAAAGGGGTCCCTGAGGTCCAGTTTCCAGGCTCTGAAAACAGGATCTCTGGGGAGGGGAGGAGAGGAAGGGGGGAGCCAGGCGAGGACTCAAAGTTTCCTGTCTTCCCCCATATCACCACCACCACCTCCATCTGCTTCCTGCCCCCCAGGCCCTTTCCCACCCCAGGCCCTCCTTTGCTGTCACAGGAGGAAAGCCACCCAGCTGGGGGCCTGATGAACTCCGCCTGGGGCTCAGACAAGGGGAACCCCTTGGCTGAGGTCACCGGAGCCTGTACCAGGAGGGGGCATCTTGTCCCGGCCCTCCTTCCAGCGCCAGGTCAGTGCCCTAGTCTGGAGGCCACAGGGCGTGGCTGCCCAGCTCCTGGGCCAAATTCGGACCTGGAGCCCCCACTGAGGCCTGCTGCGTGTCTGGACACAGGTTTCCTCCAGGAGGCTCTGCAGTAGGGCTGCCTTTCCTTTCCCAGGCCCCAAGGACAGCCCTGCCCTCCTCAGTGCTAAGCACTTGGCAAACACACCTCACCCAATCCTTAAAATAGCTTGTGAGGTGGGTACAACTGTTGCCCCCGCTTCCCAGAGGGAGGAGGGGAGGCTCAGCAGGCGCACAGGTGCTGCGGCTGAGACTCCCAGGCCTCTGCTGAGTGGCCACAGGTCTCTGGCCAGGCCTGCCCCACTCCCACACCAGGGCCCTCCTGGATGAGGGGCTGTGGCCAACCCTGGTCGCCACTGCCCCTGCCCAGGGCTGGGGTCCTCCCATCGCACCCTCCCCCATGGCCTGGGAGCAGCTCTGCTGCTCCCCTTCTTACCTTTCAGCAATCTTAGTGCTGTAAGATTTTTCGCTCCCAGAGAGTCCTGGAAGGACCCCTCAGAGGCCTCACCCCGCTATTTCAGCGCCCAACTTAAAGACTGAGTCCAAGGAAGGCCTGAAGTGGCCACAAATGGCCATTGGTGTTTCTTGGGAGTCTGCCTCTCGTTCTGGGGAGAAAGAACCTGAGAGAAGGTTCTCTGGAGAAGAGAGGGTGGGGAACAGCCAGCGGGGGAGGTCTGTGGAGAGTGGCTGCTTCATGAGCAGTGGGTCTAGAAGCAGATAAGGACAGAGGCCACAATAGTCAGGCTGACCCCGGGGGACACTGGACACAGGTGACCACCAGTACCCCGAAGACCTGATGTCTCCCCATCTGGCTAGCAAGGTCTGAGTGGGTTCCAGGCCTGGGTCTGAGTGGGTTCAAGGCCTCTCTGAGAGGAGCGGAGGGGATTGCCCTCTGGGAGAAGTAGGTAGATCTCAGCAGGCCAGAGAGCTCAGAGGGGCCAGAGAATGAACAGAAAAAGAGAAGTAGCCCCCCACTTTTTTTCCCCAGGGCTGGGAAAAAGCTCCGGTCCCCACTCACCTCCTGGGTGTTGCTGTGGCAGAGAAGGGAAGGCCTCAAAGTCTCTGGGAGACCCAGACCAGTGCCTGGGTCCACAAGGAAGTGGCTGGTGGACGGCCCTGCTGGTTTCCAGCCCAGAAACACTGTTAGGACCGGCCCAGGGACAAGTACCCCACCCAGGGACAGAAGGACAGAAGCGCCTCTGTGCATCAGGCTGAAGGGCTGGGTCAGCACTTCCGGGGGATGGAGCAGAAGAAAGCAACCTTCAGGGAGGGGCTGAATTTGAATTTCATCAGAACCTTGACCCTGGGCCTCGAGAACCTTGGAGAACTGGGGAACCAGAATCGAAGACCAGGGGACAGCGGGCTGGGGTGGGGCAGGGGGCATACAATGACTTTCTGCCCGTGTATCACTACCAGGCAGGGCGGGGTTGGGTCAATGAGGGCAGCCCCCTTCAAACACTGGCTCCCAGTGCCAGCTGTGGCACTGCACAGGCGCCAGCTCTCTGGCAGTCAAGCCCGTGAGTTAGGGATGGGCTTTGCTACCTTTACACAGGAGGAAACCAAGGCCCAGAGAGGGGCACTCATCTGCTGGGGTGTCCACAGCAGGAGCCAGCATGAGGCCAGGTCTGCTCCAGAGTCTCCTCCTGGGCCCCAAGTCCCCCCGCCAACCCCCTGCCAGCCACTTCACCTCCCGCCCGCTCAGATGCTCCACCGCCAGCTTGCTCCCTCCTGCCTCGGTGTCCCCTGCTCCCCCACCAAACCCCTCCTCCGGCACTCGCAGAGCCTCTGGCTGGGCGGGCACCGGGGAGGTGGAAAGAGTGTGCTGGACAGGCGCAGGTCTCCGTCAGCCTTCCGAGAAGACTGGGGTTGAAAAGGGAGGTGCTGGGTCCCCCCGACTCCCAGCGACAACCCACTGTGTAATTTATGCGGTCTAGCCACGTGAAGTGGGGGGTTCCGGGTTAAAGAAAGCAGCGAAGGGTCAAGTCAGGGAGAGCAGGGCCTCGAGCTCTCAGAGCTGAAAGCGTGACACCCCAGGCTCCACCCCAGCCGAGGCCCGAGCACCTGGCCTTCCGCTGGTCTGCTGGTGTCCAGGTGAGGGAAGGTGGAGGGGCGGACTGGGAGGGTCCTGTCCCCGGGAGCAGGCCCAGATGCTCAGGCCCAGCCCTCAGACCTGGGACTGCGGGGACAGCTGGTGGCTTCATTCACCTCATCTGCAAAATGGATCAACCTGGGCGACAGGCCCTTGCTGACCCACTTTGCAGGTCAGGAAACAAGCCTTGGGAAAGCAAGCCGCAGGCCTGCCCCCAGCCCCCACCTGACTTTCTTGAGTGTGACCAACTCCAGAGTTGACAGAACACTGAACTGGGCAAGGTCTTGGAATGTGACCTGCGTGAGGGCCAGGGAGGTGACGGGTGGAGGAATTTCCTTCCCACCCCTAGCGGGTTTCCTCCTAGGCCCCTCCCAGTGGTGGGAGGGATCTTCCCAAAGCTGGTGGGTAGGGACCAGATTCCTGGCTCAAGCTCAGCCATAGCCCCAGGCGCTCAAAGAAGCTTCCAGACTGGTGGGGAAGGGTTTCAGCTGCTGGGGAAGAAGGCACAGGCAGCTGAAATGGCCAGAAGCTGAGCCGGCTGCAGGCCCTGGGGGTGTGGGGGGTGCCGAGGGCCTGGCCTAGAGTCCACAGTTCCGAGTCTGGCAGGTAAAGGATCCCGCCGCAGAGACACAGCCACGCGGCAGACAGTTTCCGGAAGACACACGTTTACCCGTACACTCCAGATCGGCCCTGGCAGTCACAGCTCAAAGGCCCCTTCTCCCAAGGAACCCCAAGCTCTGGGCTGCCCTCACAGGGCAGCCCGCTGGGAAGTGTGGCACCAAAGGCGGGTAGAGGGGAAGTGTGGAGAGAGAGTGCCAGGACTGCAGCCAGGTGGAAGGTCATGGTGCTGGTGAGTGTGGCGCCATCAGCCCGGGGTCAAGGCCACTGGACAGGTGTGGAGGTGGGTGAACCCCAAAAGGAAGATTCAGGCGCCTCAAGGAACGTGGGGTGGAGAGGAGGGGGCAGAACCACCCCAGATACACTTTCCTCCCCTGAAGTCTGGAGGCCCACGGGGTAGGTGGACACAGTGATGGGCAGGCGCCAGGGCTGGTGTCCCCAGGGCAGGGCAGGAGGGGTCTCTAGGGCCCGGGGCCTGTGGCGGGGTCCATAAATTAAACAGACTTGATGTGATGAGGACGGGACAGAGGCTTGCTGAAGGCAAGGCTGGCGGGCAGCCAGCGGGCAGTGTGTCACTGGCTCCTCCAGGATGGGTGGGCAAACACGATGGGTCTCTTCTTGGCCCAGCGGGAAAACACAGCCTTCTCCGTGATGAAGCGGTGGGCACTGCGGGGCGCCCGCTCGTGTGCCAGGTACATCTGACACTCGTCCAGCCGGCCCTTCTCGAAGTAGTGGTAAGGCACTGAGGGGTGGCTCTCCTCCCTGGGGGTGGGGAACAGGGACAGTCATGGGGCCCCGGTTACTCGCTGACCTCCCTCAGCCCCTCACCAGGGTCACAGAACCCCTGGCAGGGAGTGAGGGGCGGGGTCCCCGCGGAGGCCAGAACTGTAGGGGGGGCAGTGCAGCCCTCGATCCCCACAGACAAGGCTGGAGACCCAAGCTGCAGCCTGGGCCAGAGACAAAATCTGACAGGCGCAATGGTCCATCTGCAAAATGGGGGTACAGGGTTCACAGCCTCATCTGCTGTGGCGTGGAGCTCACCCACCTATTCATCGGCACCAGGCACGCAGGTGGCCTGGCCGGGCTCCTGGCCACGGGCTCCTGCCAGCTCACCCACACACTCAGGCAGGTTTTAGAAAACAGGGTGGAACTTCCCCGAACATTTAGCGACAATGAGCCTGAACTGAATGACACAAGCAGTGTGCATGTAGATATGACTTATTACTGGCACCAGGAAATGGAGGTTCTGGGTGACCACAAGGCTAAGCTGAGACTGACCACAGGGCCACCCCAGGCACCCCCCACTCTTAGAACCCCTGGGGGGGCCCCATGGCCCTACCACGCCTGCCTCCCGCCCACCCGGGACGCGGGCCTGACCTGCAGTAGCTGTCGCTGACCATCCCATAGACCACGATCTCCTCACACAGCTCCAGTGCCAGAATCATGGTGAACCAGCCCGTGCTGAGGAAGGAGCCTGACTGCCTCCTGGGAAGGAGGAACCCACAGTCAGCCCTGCCACCCCCTCTCGAGGGGGAGCAAGGGGTTGTGTGGTGGCCCCAGCCTCAGGTCCCTCCCAGAGACCCACCTCTACACCCGGTTGGGGGTGATTCACTCTAACCCTGTACCTCCCAGACCCTGTGCTGGCCAGGAACCAGCTCCACCCAGCACTAACCGGCAGAGGGCTAGCCAGCGAGAGCCCGAAGGAAACAATGGAAGGGATATAGAAAGGAGGCTGGGAGGTGTTCCTTCCAGAGGGAAGGGATCAGGGAGGGCTTCTCTGAAGAAGTGATAATCCATTAGACTTGAATGAAAAGGTGTTGGTTATGGGGAAGTTTGGAGAAAGTTCTAGGCCATTCCAGGCCGAGGAAACAGTACAGGCAAAAACCTGCCAGTGTAGCATCAGAGGAAGCCCAGATGGCCGGTATGCTTGGGACAGGATGAGCAAGGACAGCAGAGAACACGGAGGTGGGCAGGGGTCAGATCACTCAAGATCTGTAGGTCAGGCAAGGGGAGGCAGTGAGAGTCTGGACTTGATTCTCCATGTGAAATGACGTTGCCAGGGTTGAGGAAAGACCACCAAGGGGTTGAATTTAGGGGTATCAGTTGGTGTGGGGGAGGGAAGAGTGACAGCAGGAAGGCCAGTGAAGGGGGTGCTAGAAGGAAGGGCGGTGGCACCTGGCAGGTGTGGCCCAAAAGGCTCAAGAGGCCCTGGCAAGTAGCAGGTGATAGAAGGAGCGGGGTCTGGGACAAAGTTGAAGTTTGAGCTGGAAAAGCGGAGGTTCTCGGTGCAGTTCCTGAGTTGGGTGGGCAGGGGAGGGGGCCAGCGGAGTCAGAAAGCTCTAGAATGTGCGGGGGAGAAGACGAGATCTTAAAACACAGAGAGCTCAGCCCAAGCCCAGGGCAGGACGGGCTCCTCCAGTAACTGGGGTCCAGAAGGACTTCAGAGACCGTGTCAGCTCTCAGGGCTCCCCCAGAGGGAAGGGGACCCCCACACGCCCACCAGGCACTGTCTCCTCCTGCGCTCACGGCTGAATGCACACAGGGCCCTTGGGCCCTTGACCGCAGTGACGGCTGGGTGAATGCCACCCCTTTGAGTCTGCCCCACCCCCTTCCAGGGCGGCCCTCGCGGCCTCCATGGCCGCTGACCCGGCGCCCCTGGGCGCAGCTCCTCCATAGGCCCCGGCCGGGGAGGCAGGAGGCTCACCGGTTCTTGCCGGTCTCGTTCTGGAAGACCTGGTCGCAGTAGGCCATCATGCGCTCGGTGAAGGTGTACACCTGCAGCCCGGGGTACATCTGGGTGAGCTGCAGCAGTGTGCGGTAGGTGCGGCCGCCCAGCGTCCGGTCCATGTGCCTGCCCTGGCCCCACACCACGTAAAGCGTGTCCCGCGCCCGCTGGAAATAGTGCGAGTAGTTGCGCAGCAGCAGCGGCACGCTCGTGTGCGACACTACGCGGAGGGTGCTGCGCCGGCCCACGTCCGCCTCGAAGCCGGCAGTCGGCGCCTGGTTCATGCGCAGGACGCAGTCAGCGCCGTCGATCTCAGCGCCCAGGCCGGAGCCCAGCATCTGGCCGGAGCTGGACACCACGGCACAGCTGCGACAAGGTTCTCGGACCAGCGGCTGCAGCGACAGGGGTGCACCGGGAGGGGGCGTTGGCACGCGGTTGCTCCGCCCAGCAACACCCGCGGACCGCACGTGAGACTCCCTGTGGGCACTAGGTATGGCCGGTTTGGCGCTCCAGGACCCTGAGGCTGCGTAGGTGACTTTGCCAAGGTCCCACCGAGACGGAGACTGAGTGGCGGAGCTCAGAGGCTACATTCGGAGCCTGCTCCCTTCAGCAGGCACGGCTGTTTCCTTAGTAGGAACAGCTGGCCTGAGCAAATTTACAAAGCCCTCGAGGCAGCCGCTGGCACAGACCTAGTGCCATACACAGGCCTGTTAAGTAAACTTGAACCTCAGCTCTTCAAGTCACTCTGTCCCCTGCCCGAGCCCCTCCTGCAGGCGCCCAGTTTAAAAGCTGCCCAGCACCCACACCAGCTCGGGAACCCTGCCTCTGCCCGTCCCAGCTGGGTGACTGTGGGCAAGTCCTGCTGCCTCTCTGGGCTTCCACTCCTTCATCTGTAAAAACGGACTGAGCTAGTGTCTAGGGGACCAGGTTGTAAATGGCCAGAGTGACAGGTGCTGACATAGGTAGTGTGAGGCCCCAACCCTCCCTCCCTTCTCCCCCAAAGGCAGAAGCTGAAGCAACAAGCCTGAAAATAGTCACTGGTCAGGGCTCCAAGCACAGGACTTGCTCCCCACCCACGCTGTGTGCCCTCTCGGGACGACATGGCTTACTGAGGTCTGTGAAAAGCAGGGGGACGCTTTAAAATATTTAATTGGGGCCCTCTCTGGTGGCGCAGCGGGTTAAAGCACAGCACTAAGAAGCTAAAGCCGCTTCCGCATGAGTTCGATCCCCGCCTGCCCCGAGGTGACACACGTGGTGCGGCAGACCTCTCCTGACCCGCCCGCTGCTCCCCTCAGCAGTGTGCTTCTCAGTCTGCCTGTTCTGCTCCCCGCTCTGTCTCTGGTGAGTCCTCTCGCCGCCCCTGCACCTCTGGCCTGTACCCAAGTTCTGTATGCATAAATAAATAAATCTTAAAAATATATAAAATAAAATATTTAATTTCTAAAAAGTCAGTCCCTTTGGCATTCAAATACCAGGATTTCCCACTTCTCTTAAAAGTCCCAGCAGATCTGGCTGTCCTGGGCCCTGAGCTCTGAGTGTCTGAAGTGAATATGGGCCAGCATGCACCTGGCCCCCCCGCCACTGGTCCTGCCCAGCGAACCCTCAGGACACTCTCATCTGCACCCTGCGCAACCCCACTGGCTCTCCAGTTGTCCCTGCATCCTGATCAAATATTTACACAGCACCTGTCCCGAACGCTGATCGTCCTGTGAAACTTCAGCTCAAGCAGGGGCCGTGGCTGCCTGCGCACCCCAAGCCCCTCTCTCCCCCGAGACAGGCCAGCTCTGGGCTTAACAGAACTTTCATCTGTTATCATTTGTCCCCAGCAGCCGTCAGCACTGAGGACACATCAAAGGCAGCAAGCGCACCCCTGCCGAGCCCCCGGGTGGCACGGCACAGTGAAACCACACCATCACGTGACCTCGCCGTCACGAGGTCACGAGGCCCAGAGCTCCAGGTGGCACAGCCAGGGGAGTGCAGCCGGGCACTAGTGTTGTTGAATCAGAAAACCAGTTCCCGCTAGACCCTGGGGCTCAGAGAGGTGAAGTGGCTGGTCAATGCCAGACAGCTGGTGAGCGAGCAGAGGTCCCGGGTCAAGTCCAGGGTCCCAGCTGGCCTGGCATGAGCTCCGCTCGCATTACCCCAGAGAGCTGGGGGCACGCAGGCAGACTCAGCTGCACCTGCCCCAACATGCTGCCGGGCCCACTCACCTTCCCATCTGGCACGCTGCTATATCCACTGAAGTGCAGGGGCCCTGGCACGGTGGGCCTGGCATTGGCAGAGAGGAGAGGGTCCGGGCAGGAGGCCAGGCAAAACGGCAGGCAGGCCCAGCAACACAGCAGCACGTAGACAGCCGAGAAGCCCACGGAGCACAAGGCGACGAGCAGCAGCCGACCCTGGAGGAGATGGCAGTCGTAGGGCGGGCGGGGTCCCTGGAGCCCCCAGGGGTTGTACCCCGAGCTCGAGAGTCCAAAGCCCAGCTCAGTAGCTCCTAGAACATCAGTAGAGTCCACACTGACTGGGCCTTCCTGCAGATTCAGGGCATGCGGGCCTGAGAATGAGCTCTATTATTATCCCCATTCTCTAGAAAAAGAAACCAATTTGCGGTGAAGCTCGGCAGCTCAAGCCACCCAGCAAGAGAGCAGCATGGTGAGGCCGTGAGTCCAGGTTCCAGGCCCATGCGCGCCCCCAGAGGCCCAGGTGCGTCAAGCAACACCCTTGATCTCTCTGGGTCTGTTTCTTTCTCGGCAAGGTGGGGGCCAGTACTGCCCACATGGGAGTCAAACGTGCCGGGGGCTAGAAAAGTGCTAGAAACGAGCACAGGCGAGAGGCCCTTGAGAAGGCTGCCAGCCCCCTCCGGGCCCCAGACTGTGGCTGCCGTGTGCCCTCCCCCCAAGCTGAGTAAGGGGAGCAGTGGGAGGGCACGTGGAGGGCGCATCATTCTAGCAGTCATTAAAGCTGCCGCCCAGTCCCCCACCACCAGCAGCCAGGTGCCAAAGGACATTTGAAGAAGGAAGCCCTCCTGGCACGCCGGCCTGGGCCCCACTGCGCTGACCCCCACTGCGCTGACCCCGCCTGCAGACTTTTCGAGAATGTCCCACCAAGCCTTGGAGCGGGGGCCACCTGGGGGGCATGATGCTGGGCCTGCTGTGTCCTGGGGGCCACCAGTGTCTCTGGGCTGAGTTTTCTGCCAGCCTCACAGTCACACCCTAACCCAGGGCTAGCACAGCCAGCCAAGCGTTGCCCCATATTTCTACACACTAAATGGCACTTGGTCAAAGTTGTTTTGGTACACTTTTCAGATATCTCCTAAGTTCTCCGGAAGTGAGGGGTTATCTTTCCCTTCAAGCTCCAGCTACCATGCTGCCCGTCTGCAACCCTTTCTATATATACTTTGGGAAATGCTGACCTGTCCACACATCTATCCTTATTGTTTCTTCCATCTCTTAATCCATACTGTTATTCTGTGCTGCTCCTAACATCTCTTCCTACTATCTCAAAATAAATCTTCCATTCTGCTAGGGCTATTTCCCTAATACCTTTTCCCAAATGCCAACATAGGTACTTTCCTAAAACCCTATAGTAAATCCCTCCTGCCCCCAAGACTGCCTAGCTGCTGGCTGATGCTCTTTGAAAATGAGAAGAGGCAAAGCAGCCCCTCCTCCCTCCCAGGCATATCCTGCCAGAGGCTCACCTTTTCTGCTCAAAGCCACATCAGTTTCTGAAACTACTCCCACAGGCCAGGTGCTCAGGGTAGGGTTCAGAGCCTGAAGCGTCAGGCCACCACCCTGCAGGGTCCAGGTCCCATCACAGGGACCCAAAGGTCTCCGCTCAGTCAGGGTTCACTCTCCACCAGCATCCAGGGCTCTCTCCCACCGCTGAACTGAACGCACACACCACAGACCAGTCCCAGCCAGGAGCCTCACAGGGCAGGGTACTGAAACCAGAGAGGGAAAGGCCCTTGCCCGGGGTCACACAGCCTGCCAGATCAGGGCTGGATGTTGAGGTCAAGTCAGTCTCCCCTTCTCCCCTTCTCAGCTCAGGAGAGGTGGGGTTTGAGGTGACAGTGGGAGCTGGCTGTGGGGGAAGCTGCTGGGCAGGAAGCCACCTCCAGGGCTCCTGTGAGTCTTCCTCTTTCTGCCACTTACCGGAGCCTTCATGCCGTCACTGCTGCTCAGCAGCCAGGGGGCTGCTGTCTCCAGAGTTCCAGCGGGGAAGCGGTGGGAGCAGGGCACCTGCTAAGACCCAGAAACGGAGGGCAGGTTCCCTGCCTCTGAGGCGACTGCCAGGGAAACTGAGGCAGAAGAGGGTACAAGCTGGGGTCAAGGCAGGTGGCATCTGGTAGTCAAATGCCCAAAGGTCCCCTAAAACCCCGCAGTACCATCTCCGTCCTAAAGGAGCTGGAATGGGTGATCTCTGGGGGGGGGGCCTCCCCTCCCACCAGCCCAAGGCTGAGCACGTGGGGAACTAGAGGGAGAAAGAGTGAGCCCGCGGTTCAAGGTCACCCAAAGGGTCTGGGCCAGAGACAACCGGGAGCCAGGAGCCCTCACTCTCCTTCCAGCCTGATAAAAGCAGAGGCCTGGGGCAGAATAGGACCAGGGATTTCCCCCCTGCCTCCAGACCCCACCACTTCCTCCCGCCCCCCCCCTCCCACCCCGACGGACGCTAACCGGTCGGGCAGTTTGGGGCGCGCCGGCTGCTCACGATCCGCTGCTCGGAGCTCCATGGCCCGCTGGCCGGGCAGGAGGCCGAAGCCCCGGGGCGGAGGCGGCCGCTGCAGCAGCTTCTGGAGGCTGGAAGCCGAAAGCGCAGGGCCGGCGGGGGCGGGGCCCGAGGGGATGGGGAGGAGACAGGCGCGCTGGGGGCGGGGTCTTAGCGGCGTGGGCGGGGCCAACGAGCGCGGCCGGGGCGTGACGTGCGTGGCTGGCTGCGAGGCCTCCGGGTTAAGGGCGGGGCCTGGCGGCTGGGGGCGGAGCCCGAGGGCCCGAGGGTCCCGGTCTCCGCCCTTGCCCTTGTCTCCCGAGCGGTGGCGGTGGACCGCGACCCGCAGGGAGAAGCCTACGGGGCGTGGACCCCCTGCGCCGTGGCTGCCCGGTCGTCTAGACTTGAGATTCTCCATTTCTGAAATTGGGGGATGGGCAGGAAAATGAGGCAGACGCCTGGGTCAGGCAGCCCTGGTTTCAGTCGGGGTCTGGTTGCCAGATTCAGCAAGGAAAATACAGGGCGCGCAGTTATATTGGCAGTTAAAGAACAAGTGCATTAAAAATATGAAATTTCAGTTTAGCTGGGCGCCCCTTATTTTCTCTGGTGACCCTCATTAGCCAATGACTTTCACCTGAGCCTCAGTTTCTCTCCTCTGTATAGTGGGGGATGATGTGGGCAGGGACCTCCCCGTGAGATGGTGCAGGAGCGGCTGCTGTCAGAGCCCGCGTCCAACCCTGGGAAGTCCACTCCCCAGCTGGGCCCCTGACCATCGACTTCCACCTCCCAAAGGCCCCCTTCCAAGTGGGGAACCAACTCAGTCTTCTGCCCTGCAGATGCTAAAATGCACCATGTGGGTTGCAGGAGGATTTCACACTCATACTTGGGGGTCCGCGCAGAGTTGAAGGGCAAATGTGGTTCAGCTGGGGTCTCTGGTGAGTGGAGAGCATATTTTTCATCAAAATGGTTTTTTACAAAATGCTGAGGGGCCAGAAAACTGACCTCACCACCGCTGCCCACCCACTGCCCTCTCCCTGGCCCTAAGAGGGGACCCAGCCTGGGCTCCTGCTCTGGCCCCACTTCAAACTCCGTCCAGAGAGGGCACAACCCCAGGGCATTAGGTTGTGTATTTACATCCAGCTCAGCAGGCTATTCTGTCCGGCTCCAGGTCCAATGCCAAGTCCCCTGAACTGGTGACTGAGATCTCTATGCCCACCCCTGGCTCCCCTTTGACCACAACCCCATCCGGGCACACATCAAGGGTATCGGCCTAGGTTCAACCCCTCCTGATGGCCCCTCGTTCACACAAGGCGAGATGCATAGTGGGTCCCCAAAGCTAGAGCCCTCTGGCTTACCCTCAAGTCTTCTTCCTTCTCGTCTCTCTTCCCAGAGACCCAGCACTCAGAGGACAGTGGTCAGTGTCCTCTACGGGCTCATGCATCACCACGACAGCTGGGGAAGTAGCCATTCCTTCCCCAGGGACAACTCCTTCCTTTCTAGGGCCACGCAGAGACCAGACGTGCCATAATACCTGGGGTCCAGAGTAGGTAAAGATGATGGTGCACAGTGGAGCCTGACAGGCCCGATGAGGCTCTTCAGTTTGTTTTGGTAAAACCCCACTCTTACCTGGCTGACAGCCCTGGTGTCCTATCCTGTCTCCTTACGAATCTCCAGCCACCTGCCCTGCCCACTCTCTGACCCCAATCACACTGAACTCACCCCTACCTGCACTTGCTGTCTCCTCCATGTGGGACTGCTGTGCTCACTGGGCCTGTGCCTCCTTGTCATTCAGCTCAAGCATCATCTCACAAAGACCCTCGCCAAGCGTGCTATCTAACTTTACCCCAATTCTTACTGTGCTACCCTGATTTATTCTTCATCGTGTTTGTCGCACTCTGAAGTCACCCTGTGTATTGAATAGCTTTCCTGTTTACGGGCCACCTGCCCACTAGATGCTAAGCTCCGTGTGGGCAGACTGTCACCTTTTGGGGCATCTCAGGCACCCTCATAGTGCCTGGTACCCACTCGGGTCAGGTAACGTTGAATGAGCAGGTTAGGGGTGCAGAGGGCTGGCACTGTGAGGTCTCAGCCCTTGGCAGGAAACCTAAAGTGAGGAGGGGGAGGGGCGGCTGAGTCACCTCTGATGGAGGCAGGGCTGGGGCCTCTGACTCACCCCCATCTGATACCGACCCCTCAAGGCCCCCACTTCCTGCCACACTGCATAGCCACCTGGGAATTTCCACTTCCCGCAATGATGAGCTTATAGACTAATGTCTCATCATCTTCCAGCCCAGTCAGAACATACTTTCTGTGGTTTCCACCAGGTCAGAAAGACGGAAGCCCAAGATTCCTCAGAAAACTGGGACAATGTCAATATTAAATATTTATATTTTCATCTGAATCTTCCAGGAACCCACACACAGTCCAGCCCTGCCCCATGGCCATTTTTCTTCATTTTGCCTAGAGGCCCATAAAGTGATCCAGTTGAGCAGCTCGCCCAAGATCTGGAGTCCTCCAGTCCTGGGGGTTAGCCCTTGGCCACATGACCCTCCCAACCACACACTGTCCCCTCCCACACTGAGCCCCCACTACAGAGAAGTGTTTCCTTCTCTCAAAGGCTGGGCTCTCTCTCTCGACCTTTGCTGTGCTCTTGGCCTGAGACTCTTCCAGAGAAGTGTCTGACTCTCCTGGTCTCCGTTTAAGGACTACAGACCCCCAATCCATCAATAATTAGGTGTGTTCCCTTGAGCTCCATAGCTCTGTGCTTCTCCGAGGGGCTCTGTCACCATCACCCCAACTGTGAGTCCTAGGACGGCATCTTCCTCCACCTCCGGGTCCCCACCGCCCAGCAGAAGCACACGGCAGGTGCACAACACACCTAATGAGTTAACGCTGCCCCTGTTCACCCTTTCCATTTTACAGATCAGACCACTGAGCACAGCGCCTAGCACCGTGCCTGGCCACACAGCCGGGCCCCAGAGCGGGCCCCTTGGGCATGCTCAGACTGGACTGAGACCAGAGGTGGCTGCAGTCTCCTCGAGGAGGGGAAGGACTGATGAGGGGTCACAGGCACTGTGTGTCGCTGCTGCAGTGATGCCTGAGTGGCCACGGCCACCAGGTTGGTGCCAGCCCCGGCCCCACTCCACGGATGGGAGCTCTGGCGACTGCAAGGAGACAGTGGAGCTTATTGGAGATTAATAGTAGATTCTAGCATAGTGTATCCCAGAGCGGCAGGGTCCCAAAACACCTCACCTTCTCCCCCCTGCATCCCTAGAGGGTCAGGCATGAGGAAGCCACCCCCCAGGAGAGGCCAGAGGACCCTGCTTGAGGGAGGCAGGAGTCTTGTATATGCCCCTCGAGTCTGTGGGACTCAGTTTCCCCATCTGACAAGGGACTGGACTGGAGCCATCACCTCCCCCAATTGTCTGAGCATGAGGACAGAGCAGCAGGAGCCTGAGTAAGAAACAGGCTCTTGAGTTCAAAAGTTGAGTCCCGGTCCCAGCATTTATTGCTGAGTGTTCTTACGCAGTCCCTTCATCCCCTGAGCCTCCATTTCATGGTCTGTGAAGAGAATAATAGCACTTCTGGAGGGTTAAATGAGTGAACGTGGGAGAATCCCTGGCACCGCGTGGGGCACACCACGACGCGAATGAGGCTGTGTCGCTATTTAGTTGGGGGATGATGCCCCCTGGAGGGCAGTGGGAGAACTGCAGGCGAGGGGAGCCCGAACCGCCGTCTCCGCCGTCAGACGGTGTTTCCAAGCTGATGGGGAGAGTGGGGCCGCGTCTGGTCACTCGGTGTGGGCCTCCACCCACTGGCAGAGGCGACGGGCGTAGTGAGCCGGGCTGACGGTGGAGAAGGTCCGGCCTGGGTAGCGCAACGTCTTCCAGAGGTGCTCCAGCCGCTTGCGAAGCCCGTAGACTGTAGCAAGATCCACGAGGCCCAGAAAGTAGCGGTGCTCCGGCCCGTCCAGAATGTGCAGGGCGTTCGAGGCATCGGGCAGCAGCCGGCGGTTCTGGGTTTCCAGCTCCTGGGGACTCTGTGCCCCTTGCATAGATCTAGGGGCCAACAGGAGGGTGAGGCTAACTAAGCCTCCTCCAGGCAGCCCCAGGCACTCGGCCAGTGAGCCGGGCCAGGCTGCCCCTGGGCGGCACTCTGAGCTGACCCTTGCTCTGCCCTTGCCCACCTCCTGTGTGCCACCTCCTGTGTGCCAAGTGAGGTCAGCTGAACTATGCTGGGATGTAACACATATGCTGCAGTATATGTGTTACATCCCAGGAGGAATGTAACAGGAGGAAAAGGATGCAAAACGCTTCACACACACCTACCTGGCTGTGCAGAAGATGAGGCTGCTGCCCCGGCCCCTCTCATCTTCGTGGAGGTGCTGGGAGGCCATCAGGAGGCTGTAATCCAGCACGTTGAGCTCCTGGAGAAAGGCGGTGTCCAGTTCCATCTGGCGCAGGAGCCAGGTCCGCTGGGGCCCTGCGGGAGCATCAGTGGCCCCCCTGAGTGTGCATCCTGTGCCAGGCAGGGTGCCGAAGATGCCACACGCATCTGTCCCTGGAGGACAAGTGTCTTTGCTGTCCCACTCACAGACGAGAAGACTCATCTGTAACTCATCTGTAACCCCCCCAGCGCCACTGCCTCCGGGACCTGGGCTCCGTGGCTCGGGCTGCGCTCAGGGCTGCCCCGCTAACCTTCACCCCAGGGGAGGAAAAGCAGGCGGCGGCCTCCTCTGTAGCTCACCCAGCTTGATGGTCTTGCCCTGAAAGTTGAGGTCCTTTAGCACCAGAAGGAGGTGGCTGCCCTCAGGGGCCGGTTCCACCCATCGGCTCACCTCACAGCCCTTAATGTCATACCTGGCGACAGAATGCAGCTTTTCACAGACTTGAGAAACACAGGGCACCCCACCAAGTAAGGAACAAGAGCTCCCACCTTTCGGCTGTTCAAATCCTCAACACCCCCCCGCCCCCCGTTTATCACTGTGCCCATGTTAATTAGAGAGGAAGGAAGAAAACGGGCAGTTTCTTTGACCTGCCTGGTTCGCAATCAGTCAAGAATGGGGCAGAGGTGGGAACTGTGGCCTTTGGAAGCTCAGGCCCTACCCTGCCTGGGCCTGTCCCTTGGCACGCTGCTGTTTCTGAGGCTGTCCCAGACCCGGGGTTCCAACCCTAGAAGGCAGCAGCAGGAGGTCCTCGGGCCTGGGCAGCCCCCCCCTCCCCGGGGCAGAGTGGGGGTGCAGGGACCTGCTCCTTGCACAGTTACTGCTAGGCCTCCCCGCTTCCCGACAGCGCCTGGTGCATGCTGAGTGTTCAAGGGGTGCAGCTAACCGGTGTCACTGTCTGCACCCTGTCTCCTCCCCGGACCTCAGTTTTGCTGTCTCCCTAGTGAGTGAGGGTGCTTCAGGGGGCGCATTCCAGGTGGGACCGGGACTCACCTCTCAGAGATGCGGCCCGCGGGATAGAAGACGCTCTGCATAATGATGAAGTATTTCTGGGGGTGAGGTAGGGAGTGAGGGCGGACAGGAGCTCGTCTTGCCGAGCTACCAGCCCGGCCCCCTTACCTCCGCCTCACCCACCTTCTTTCCCCCGGCCACCCGCAGACTGTGCACGCCTGGAAGGGGAGAGGGTGCCAGGTGAGGGGGCCCACGCTTGACACCCAACTCCCCCCTTCCCGCCCTTGCCCAGCCGGAGCCCCCGCCCCAGGCCTCACCCCCTTTCCAGATCGATCTCGGGGATCTGGGTAGGGACGCCCCAGCCTCAAGAAGGCCGGATGTCCCGACCGGGCCCCGCCCACGCCCCGGGGGGGGGGGCCCCTCCAACTCCGCCCCAGACAGCCCACCCAGCACTGTCCACTCGGCTCAGACTCAGGCCCAGCCCCCATCCGGGGAACCGCCTCCCTCCCTGGCCCCTCACCTCACTGACTCTCCCCCCAGCCCTGGCCCGACCCCCTACAGGACAGGCCACCCCGACCGGGCAGGCCGTACCCAGCAGCCGCGCAAGCAGCGAGTGCGGGTGACGCTGCAGGTGCCGCACGTAACGGGGCAGGTGGGCGAGCAGCGCCCGCACCTCCCGGCGCCGCTGGGTCTTCAGGAAGAAGCGCTGGTCGTGGCTGGGTGGCGGGAGGGCGAGGTCACTAGCCAGGCGTGGCTGGAGTGGCCTCCCCATCGTCGCTGTGGCCGGCGTCTCTCCTCTTCCACCCTGACCCTCCCTCACCTGACTGTTTCTCCTCCTGAGTGATCCCCAGGCAGGACACCACGCCCACCCTCCCCACCCCGGCTGCCAGCTCACGACAAGAAGAAGCTGGCCTTGCTCTTGGAGGTGCTGAGAAACTGCAGGTAGGGGCCACCTGGGCCCAGCGCGGCCTGATAGTCCTCCTCGGCCAGGCCTAGGGAGCGGCGAAGCCGGGCGAAGGCGGGACCTGCTAGGGTGCCCAGCTCGAAGCCCTGCAGGGAGGAAGAGCAGCCCCGAGAGCATGCGCATTGGCAGCCAGATGACAGCAGGGCGCAGGGGTGCAGGAGGGTCAGGGTGCCACGCCCTGGGAGGACCCAGGAGAGCCATCACACCCACTGGCAGGTAGGAAAGCTGAGGTGAGAGCAAAGCGCAGGACACGACCTCCAGAGCTGGAGCTTTGGGCTGCCTACCTCGTGGGCCTGGGTCAGAACCTCGGAGAAATCCTCCTCGCTGGGCAGCCCCTGCAGGGAGGGCGGGGTGGGGGCCTCAGGGCAAAGCCAGGCTCAGCCCCCACTGCCAGCCTGAGTCTCCTGTGGCTCCGGGCCTCCTCCCTACCCCAATTTGATTCCTCCAGCATCAACTCTGGCCAGCAGAGAGGGCAGGGGGCGGCCTGCTCTGCGGCTGGGGGCATGGGGGGGTGCGGACCTGGATGTGTCTCATCACATTGGGTCCCCAGCACCCCTCGGCTCCAGTCTGCGCGCCGAGACACATGTTGGCCATGAGTAACCTATGCCGTCCCAGTGAGTGGGGGGTGCCTGGAAGCCAGGGGACCTGCCTGGGGAGACAGGCTCAGAAAAGGCTTCCTGGGGGAGGTGACCTCTCAGCTGGCATCTGAAGGGCAGTGAAGAGGAGCAGGGTGTGCACCGCAGTGGGAACAGCACTGGGGCTGCAGGAAGGGAGGGACAGATGGAGTGTGAACGAGGCTGGACCACTGGCCCTAGCACCTGAGCCAGCAGGACCCAGAGACCACAGTGAGTACAGACCACTTCCAGCGGGTGGTGAGTTAAGAGCTCCCTCGCGTTCCTACACCCTGCCTGGACCTCCAGGCCCTGTGCCGGGCCCTGCTCCGTGGGGTGTGGCCACACTCCACACACATGCACAACACACAGGGCCCATCCTGCTGCTGAACTTGCAGTTGGATGACCCTTTCTGCTGACCCAGCCTGGCCCAGCCTGAGCTCCAGGGAAGATGGACCAGGCCTACGGGGTGGGGACAGGTCGCTCCCCAGCCACACATCCTGGCAGGGCTGGGAGGCCTCAGAGACCAAGGAGTACAGTCCCCCAGCCACCCATTATACAGATGGGGATAGTGAAGCCCAGCTAGAGTCACACAGCAGTCGCCTAAGTCAGGGGACCCCTTACACCCACCCCCAACACACAGTGGGCTCTCTGGCCTCAGCCCCCACCCCAGAATGTCCTAGGCTGCCTGCACCAAGCCCCTGACTTCCTCCCCTTATAGCCCTTGCTCATCCCCAGCGCCAGAGCACTAATGATGGCCCAGTCTTGCCGTTGGTGCTCTGGGGAGACAGCCCCAGACAGATGACCACTCACCGTGGGCGGGTGGTCCATGGAAACCTGGGTGGCAGCCCACAGCCCTGCCTGCATCATACACGTCAGCCGGTGCAGTTCATGCCCCGGGTCGATCTCAAACAGGCCCAGGCGCACCTGCCTGTCTCGCAGACGCCAGAGGAGGCCACGGTGGCGAGAGCTCCAGGTGGCTGCTCTGCCTCCAGCTTCTGGGGAGGGGGCCAGCACCTGGCGGCAGGGGACACAGAGGTAAGGAGATGTGGCTGCATCCCAAAGGGGAGAAGACCCAGGTCCGAGTCCCTGTGAGCCCTCCCTCCTCTCTCCCTGCCGTTTCCTCCATACCTAAACTACAGAGCATCTGATAGCCACCTCATGGGGGCCTGGTGTGCCTGGTGTGCAATCAGAACTCAACATAGAGGTGTGGTTACCGTCAGTGGGCAATGTGTTTTTTTTGCAGCCAAACCTGACCCAAGATGGTTTCTCACCAACTGTGTGACCTTAGGTAAGTCACCGAACCTTTCTACAGCTCACCGTCTCATCTGTAAAACAGGAACTACAGCAAGTGCCTCCTGGCACGGATAACTACTATTTCTGTTGAGTTTGAGCTCCGAGCACGGGGCCTTGCTTGTGGGCGAGCAGGAGGTGCCAGCGACCGGTGATCTTTTCCACTCATCTACACTCCAGGCCAATGCAACCGGTCAGCAGGAAGCTGAGCTCACAGCAGCAGACCCATTAGCAGCCGGCACCCGGCACTGGCCGCGGACCTGACCTCCCAGCAGCCCTATGAAGGAGTCTTTATACCCATCTCCATTTTCCGATGAGGAAATAGAGGAAGTTTCCAGAGAACAGCCGCCAGACTGCCTATTATACTGCCCCCCCCGCCACCCCCCCACAGGACCCCTCTGGGGCTTGGATGGGGGTGTGTCCGTGCCGCGCGGCGAGGGGAGAATTGGCCCTTGACCCCAACTTTTCCCTCTCCTGTCCTCCCTCGGATCTTCACTTACCTCGCGGGGCCCCGGGCTCGGCGCGGCCATAGCCCCCCAGAAGCTTCCCGGGCTCTGCCCGGTCCCCCGGCGCCCAGCCGCCTGGCTGCAGGCGGTAGGCCCCGCCCCTGCCTCCATACCAACCAATCGCGCGGCGCCGGCCACGGCCACACCCAATCCGCGCAGGGGGCGCCGGCGATCGCCCGCAGGTCCCGCCTCCCCGGCTGCAGCATCCTCCGGACCGCGGTCCAGCCCCGGGCGGGGCCGCTGCGCTTTGGGTAGGGTCCCCAGGAAGGGAGACCTCCCCATTTCCTCCTCTGGGTGAGAAGCTCGAGACTGAGGGGATGCGTGTGACCTAAACCCAGTCCTGCCCTCCCAGTGCCGGGCAATTCCCACCAAGTGCCTTTTGGGTCAGACAACTAAGGTGCGGAGAAGTGACTACCTCCAGGTCACACAGGAAGCCAAGCCCGGGGAGCGCATTCATTCAATGCATATATTTCGATACTACAGGCCAGAGCGGTGCCAGGCCCTGGGGATTTAGTGGTGCGAGGGTGGAACACAGCTGCCGGCCTGATCTTTTAAAAGCATAAATCGATGATGTCACTCTCATGCTAAAAGCCGCTAGTAACTTCCCAGGCAGTGGAACAAAATCCAGCTGGGGCTCTCGCCACTACCAGGCCCACTACCCACTCTCCAGTCCCATCTCCAGCTGCTGTCCCTGCACCCAGCACACAGCCGTTGCCACCCACCCCTCATAGCTGCCAAACTTGCACACCTCAGGATTTTGCGTTTGCTCCTCCCTCTGCTTGAAGTCATTTTCCCCTGTGTTTCATCTGCCTTCCTGTCCTGCTCATCTAGGTGTCTTCTCCCCTAATTCCTGACCACATCACCTCATTTGCCTTCTCCTTAACACTGTGAGACATTGTCTGGCTCACTTATTCATTGGCTCACCATCTCTCTCCTGCCCTGCCATGGGCTGTGAGGAAGAAACCACAGGGCTGTTGGCACGCACCACAGCCCGGGGAAGATAGATCAACCCACACAAGCAGGATGTGCTAGGGCCTCAGCAAGACCCACGAAATGAAAGGCCAGTGTGCCAGTGGGGCGCGATGGGGTGCGCTGCAGATTTTCATAGGCACTGGAAGTGGGGCTGTGAGAAAGATGCTCAATTTTTTTTAAAGGCCAGGAGTGGTGCTGTCAAACTGGAGGTGGCTGGGGTGGGCAGGGGCAGCAGTAAGGCAGAGGATTGAGTCTTGGCATCAGGATGACTGCTGGATGCAGGGCAGAGGTGGGGCACTGACAGGATTGGGGGTTGTATGGCCCACAGAGAGGAAAGCTGTGTTGGCAATGACTGCCAGGCGTGGGCTGGGGCTGGGGCAGGATGATGTGGTCAGAGGGGCAAAGTGAGAATCCTGCCCAGGACAGGATGAACTTGCGGGGCCACCATGATAGACGGGGTGGTGGGGTGGGCGAGGTGCCATGCTGAGTGCACTGGGGACCAGCAGAGCAGGGCTGAGGCAGCCTCTGTGTAAGAACAAGGTCCCTGAGGAGGGCAGGGGGAGGGGCCTCATGAGTCCCCTCTCACAGAACAGAGGTGCCGGGGACATCAGAAGGGGCCACCAGCGCACACAGGGGTGTCAGATACTTCCCACGTCCTGCCTGACGTGACGGCGCTGACTGGGTGCTGCCCTCCTGGCCAGGTGGCAGCACAGGGAGTGGCACGAGGAAAAGCAAGCGCATGTGTGGCTGTCAAGGGATACCCCGACGGACTACTGCCTCTGTGGAGGGTCTTCAAGTGGGAACTGGGAGGCACAGAGGACGGGCAGTTCCCATGACGGGGACTGCCAATGCCGGGAGCCCCCTGCTACAGCAGGGAAGACAGAACCCGAAGTCCCATGGTAGCGCCGCCTGGACACTGGGTGTGGAGGAGGCAAGGGTGCCTGCAAGTGCCTCTTCTCAGAGCCCAGAGGGAGCCCAAGGGCCAGGAGAGAGGGATGGAGATGCACAATGGTCTGCCTCAGTGGCTCAGCAAAATTACTGGGGTGCCAGGGCCTGTGTCAGCACATTCAGGAGGAGGGGCAGGGCCCTTCCCGGTGGTGCAATGGGTTGAAGCAAGCACTGAGAAGCTGCAGCCGCTTCATACAAGTTCGATCCCCGGCCAGGGAGCTGACCCACAGGGCGCAGCAGACCTCTCCTGTCCCCTGCTGCTCCCCTCAGCAGTGTACTTTGGCAGCCAGCCTGTTCTGCTCCCTGCTGTCTCTGGTGAATCCTCTCAGTGCCCCTGCACCTCAGGCCTGCACCCCAGTTCTGTGTGCATAGAATGGAAGCAGCCCTGCTCTGGCTCAGCAGCAGCTGAAATGGGGCTCTTAGGGACATACTAGTGCCTGCTGGCTGGGCTGGCAGAGGGGAGGCAGGGACGGCTGATGTGTCTGGCAGGCAGCACCGCCTCCACTGACTCCCCAGCTGTGACCTGCTGTCGCGCCCCACTTTCGCCTGCGTGGGATGAGCAGGAGGCACCTCGCACGCCCCTGAGTGATGCTGGGCCAGCGACCAGGCCCTCCAGCCCCCCATTCAGGGATGGTGCAGAGACAAACACAGCATCAATATTTATTATTCAGCCCTCCCCCGTGTGCTGACATGAGGACTGGGCCTCCATGAGCAGCAGATGATGTGGGGCCCACTGTGGTCATCCTAAGGTGCCATGAGGCTGGGGCCTGCCAGTCCTTGCTGTAGGCTCTTCAGGACCTAAAGGTCCCAGTGGGTCTGGGCCACTTCAGACCCAGGGAGCTGCCTTCATAGAGGAATGGGGGGGGGGGGGAGGCACATGTTGCCTCACACCTGCCAAGTCCAAAGTCACATGTGACAGAAGGGAAACTGTGGCAAGAAGGTAGGATCCAGAGGAAAAAAGTGACAGGGAGTCTGAAGATGAAGTGAGGAGGACCTTAGGCCTCAGCCAGAATGGGCCAGAGGAGGACTTCCAGAAGCTTCTCCCTTCTAGCTTCCAAAAGGGCGAGCAGGAGCTCTGGTCGGTGAAGGTGAGTCCTGAACAGCTCTGCCTCATGGGGATGTCTGCAGGCAGCCAGACGGGAGGGGGCCACAGCCTAGAGGGGCCTCTGGGTTCCCATCCTTGGTCATTCCCTGGAGGGGGCAGAGAGAGGCCTGCAGCCTCATCCGGGCTGGGCCTTCACTGAGTCTTTTTGGTCCCCTTCTGGTTCTTCAGCATCACGTAGGCGATGAACACGCCTGGAACATACAGACCAGAAAGGCTGGGTAAGATGGGGCTCGGGCACAGCACCAAGCAGTGGGGAGCCACGTCCAGCCGCTGCCCTCTAGGCCAGCCAGCCTGGTTGCTCGCTGAGCCACACACCCACCCGCATTCCCTCAGCAAACACACCTGAGCGCCGACCGCAGGCTGGCGGCTGGGCTTCGGGCTCGTGTCTACAGAGCACAAGAGCCACCCAGCTGTTCACCCAAGCAAATACGCAGCGCCACCTACCCACCCACCCAGCAGCCACACGCCGCCCACCCCACCATCCAGTCACGAGGCTGGCTCTTCTAAACCACTTTCTCGAGCACCGACTCAGAGTGGTGCTCTGAGCCCCCAGCCCCAGGAAGCCCGCACGCTAATCCATGGAGAAGAGACATGCCAGGAATCATAAGCTGGGGTGACAAGCGGGTGAGAGGATTCAGTGGTGAGCAGAGAGTGGTGGAGGACGGAGTGGGCAGGGGTGAGGAGGCAGCTGGCTAACCTGGTGCCCCTGAGGCCAAGGGAAGACCAGCAGGGTGAGCCCTGAAGGCTGATCAGGAAAGACCAGGGAGTAAGCTGGGGGCCAGCAGCCTTGAGCAGACGTCTAGCAAGTGGGGAACCCCTGCCCAACGGGAGGGGTGCGATGACTTACCCACAAATAGGAGCAGCAGGAGGCCAGCGGCCAGTGGGATGGCAACAGCATAGGCTCGGGGCAGGAAATACTTGTGGATGACATGCTGGCTGTCAATGAACGGCTGGCACAGAGGGCAGAGCGCGGGTGAGCCTCCGCACCTTGCCTGCCCTCTGCTCAGCCCGACATTCCGGCTCCTCTAAGGAGCTGCCCCACTCAAAGCCCAGGGGAACACTCGCTTTTCTTTAAGAGGAGGGCATTCTGCATGCCCTGGTGTGTCGGTCCATTCGCCAGGCAGCAGCCCCAAGTTGGTGCTGGGGTCCTGACAGTGAAGACAAGCGACTTGGCCGTGGCGTCCACAGCCTCCCCTTGGCCTGGCAGGGGCAGAGGGCACACTCGAGGCTTCCGGCCTGGGCTGCCAGGCTTTCCTCCCCAACATCTTTCTGCAAAGAATCCCGGGTTCCGCCCAAGGTTTTCCCTTCCAAACACGATGCTCTTCTTAACAGTAACCAACACATCCGTCCCCCCCGCCCTGCCCCCAACATCCCGAAAGCCCTCACGAAATTCACTAGCCCACTCATGCCCCGGAGATAACCAGGAGGATCCCCACCGAGCAAAGCGGGACCAGCTTTACAGGGCAGCGGTCAAGGACAAGGCTCTGGGCCAGCCCTGCTCCCTCAGCTCAGCTCCCTCATGTCTAAAACCGGGACACCACTAACAACTGGATCAGCGCTGCTCCGAAGACAAGCAGGCGGCGCGCGGCAGCACACGTACCAGGAGAATCACCCAGACGGTGTAGTAGGCGAAGATGACCAGGCTAGCCGCGACCAGGCCGAGTCCCGCCACCTGGTCTGTCCCCGTGGCCTGGGGGAAGGAAGGCCTCAGCTGACGGCGTGACTCCCCGTCTAGTGCGCCAGGTGGGGGCGTGGGCGAGGCCGTCGCAGCTTACCGCTGTCTGAACTGCCCGTTCGCGCGGCAGGCGCGGGCGGCGCTCACTGGGCGTCAGCGCCCAGGCAGGGAGTGCGCGGGTCTGGCGGTTTCGCGCGCCCAATGGGCGGCGGGAGAACCCCAGTTCTGGGTGCCGAATCCCAGTTTCTGCGCAGACCCTGGGCCACAGACCCTGGGCCACAGACCCTGGGCGTCACCCCCTTATTCCCCGCACCCCCGACTCCCGGCGCCAAGCTCACCATTTTCCCCGCGGTCAGCCACTGGAGCAGCCAGCCACATCCGGTTCCGGATCTGGGCCCTTCCGGTCCTGAGCCGCGGGGGACGCCGGGAGTCGTAGTCTTTGGGCCCGCCCCTGACGACGTTGCCCAAGACAGACAGGTGCCGCTTCTCTTTTGCATGTCGGGAAATGTAGTCTCTCAAGGCTTGTAGAGGCGTGCCTTTCCCCGACCCTCCCAGTTAGGAACCCCGACCGCCGGACGTGCGCGGCCTCAAGACTACCGAAATCGCCTTAGGAAAAGTAATTCTCTAAATACCTCAGAGTTCCAAAACGAGAGTGGAGGGGGCCGGGAAGGTCGACCCGGATAAAAAAAATCCCATTTTTTATGTGGGGAAAACGAAGCTTACAGAAAGGTGATTTGCCAGTTGTGATTGTGCCCATGGTAAAGCCTGTTCTGGAAGTCGGGGCCCTCCTTCCTGGACTAGAGGCCCAAACGAGTCTATTGAGGGGAACCAGCCACAGGGGGCAGGTCAGACTGGCCTGAGCCTCATGGGTGGAAAGGTTTTGATCAGTTGTGCAGGGGAGACCCCTGAACCTGGCTTCTGGAGACTCTTCAGGTACCCCCTCTTCACTGCAGGGGTCGTGACGCCAGGAAGACCTTCCCTCCCCACATCGTCTGCCTCTGGGGGTGTTGGGGCAGCCAGGTAGCCACTCAGACAAGTCTTAAGAACCCCCAGCCCCCACCCTCGGTGCAGACCCACAGGTCTTGAAGGTCCTTTCCTCAGAGAGCAAGCAGTTTGGGCTGGATGAGTCCCCAGGACCTGGAACACTGCCCACAGCTCATGGCTGCTCCTTCCCCATCAGGCCTCACTGGGATGCATGTCCCAGGCAGGTGGCCTTTACAGCTGGGGCAGGGTTCCCTCTGTGCTCCACAGCCTGTGCCTCCAGGACAACCACCTGTTTACCTGGCCCACCTGACTTATCTCCCTGAGGATGGGGTGTGTGGTCACTGCTGTACCCCAGGACCCAGCATGGAAGGAGCTTTGAATCAGCCAGCCTGGAGTGACGTGTCAGTGGCTTGTCTAGATCACAGAATGCTACAGAGCATATCTGGGGTCCTTGGCTCCTGAGGCAACGCAAGACTTGCTCCTGGTGGCAGCACACGTCTCCTTGGGCCCTTGGGCTCCTGGAGCCTGCCTCCCAGAGCTGGTAAGGACAGCCCTTTTGGCCTACCTTTTTGGCCCAGTTCCTCCCCTATCTCAGAAGACTTTGGGCTCAGCCAGTAGGCAAATTTTCCTTCCCTGAATGAGCAGAGAACAGGAAGAGGAACTGAGAATCAGCCTCCAGGGCCATGTGTGGGAATCAGTCCTGACGAGGGTGACAGTCATGCCTTGCTGTAGCAGGGACGAGGTCTGGTAGCCGGTCCCCGCTGGCCTGTCAAATGCCACTGGGGCTTCCGGTTCTTCTGGGTTTAGCGAAGGCCCAAGCAAGCAGCCTTTCCCTGGCAGGGAGTGAGGGCCCAGGCCTGAGTCTGAGCGGCACGGAAGCCTTGGGGCGGTTAGGAGCACTCTGTTCTCCCCACAGGTCAGGCACTGCTCATGTGATCCACACCCCATTTACATCTGAGGGAACTGAGGCATGTGTCCCCACCTGCTAAGCTGCCACCTGACTGCGGGGGGTGTACAGAACAGCTGTTAGAACTTGGGCCTCTGAGGCCAGAGCTGCCACTCACTAGGTGTGAGACTGGCAAGCAACAGCCTATGGGGGCGTGTTTCCTGCACAGGGGTCTGGGGCATCACTGAAACTGCAGCCATGACTGGGAACCCCCCCACACACACACCTTCCCCACCCCGAAGGCCATGGTGGCTTCCTGCTGATGCCATCTCAGGCCCAAAGTCAACATGCCAGACACACAAAACGCAAGGAGCCATAAAAACAAAAACTGCAACATTTAATTTTCCCCCAAACCAAGACACTGACACTAGGCTGATTTCCCCTTACAATGTTATTCTCTATGATAGAAGCTGGGACAGATACAAATACAGCCCACTGACCCAGGGAGTTGGGGGCGCGGGGAGTAAAATAAAAAGGCCTCCTCTTCCCCAGTCTCCCTGCTCACCTCCCTGGAGAGAGGAAAACACATTCTCTATCCTGGCAGGTCATGCCACGGGGTCTGTTTGTGGGGGGACCAAGGGAAAAAAAAAAAACTAAAAATATTGTATACCTTTATTTTCTTTAAATCTCCTAGTAAAAACATTAAAACTGTCTTTCAAGAGGATTCCAAACTGTCATTGCATAGACCAATTCCTTTCCAAAAATATCTCTAATATATTCTATCTCTATATAGGCTTTAAAGTCCAGGAGCTGTGGGCGCCTAGAGGGAATTCGCTGAGCTTGAGGGGACCCGAGGGCTGAAGAGGCCCTGCGTGGCGAGGCGGCGCCTCCGGCTTCCAACCAGCATTAATTTGGTTGTGGACAAATCCTTGGTTCGTCCATTACCCTGGCCCAGGGCCTGGTGTGGGAGAATGTGACAGGTTATCTCCTTTTGGAGTGAAACTCGGAGCTCACCTTTGGGGGTGCTGGGGGCCCTGATGTGTGGGGGTCTCCACAACAGCACCAAATCAGCTGTTTTATGCCTAAAGCCTTAGAACTTTGAACCAGGCCCCAAATGCACCCTGCATGCACTTCCCAACTGGGCTGAGGCTAGGTAGACGCAGATGGGAAGGGCCATGCACCCCGACCTTCTGGGGTCACTTCATGTGGAGACAGCATGGACCATGCCCTTTAAAGTGCCAGCCAGGGATCTGCGGGGCAGGTGGGACCCGCAGCCTGACCAGATCCTCCTCCAGTCAGAGCGGACACTGTCCTGCCTCGGCAGGCACCTTCTAACATTCATTTCTAACAGTTAGGTGATTAAAAACAACAGCAACAGAAATCCTAGAAATGTTCTGGTCCCAATACCGAGAGGTTCCAAGACCGACTTACTCTTGCCAGCTGGGGCCAATAGGCCAGGACACCTCCCAGCCTGGGGAGGAAGCCCTCACCCCACCCCCAGAGAGCGAGCCAGTATCCACCAGGGCCTCCATCTGGATGCCCAGCACTGCTGGGCCCCGGCCAGGGGGAAGCCAGAGAACAGGACCACCTCCCTTCACCTGGGGGAGCAGACAACACCAAACTGTGAGCTCAAAAAAAAAAAAAAAAAAAAAAGGAGAAGGGAGGAAGGAAGGTTGAAAAAAAGTGTAGGGCTAAGTAAACACCAGCCAGCTGGGTTTATACAAAACGAGTGAGATTTAGGAGGGCGGGAGTTTGTCCGGGGACTGGGTGTAGTCAGAACCCACCTTCAAGCCAGTAATGAGGACCTGGGGGGAAAGTGCAGAGCAGAGGCTTTAGAGGGGGTGGGGGCGGGGCAGGCCCAGACTGCTCCCCGCTGGGAAAACACACCTTCAAGGACCCCACCTCTCCTTGCCCAGAAGTGGGGAGAGGCTTTCAGAGGAGGGCTGAGGCTTCTCAGGCCAGGAAGCCGGCTCCGGGTCGGTCCAGTCTCAGCCCATCTGCCTCCCAGCACCCACCCAGCCCAGGCCCCCTGAGGGGAGAAGGGGGCTCTGCTTGCCAGTCCAGCCAGCCAGACCAGGCCCCCAACATCCAAGGGCTTGGGGGGCGCCTGCAGGAAGCCAGCTGCTCGGGACCCAGCCCTGAGCGAGAGAACCGCCTTCTCGGCCTGGGTGCTGGGCCCGAGCTGGAGCTGGCGGCGGGAGCAGCAGGAGCGCCGCGTTCCAGCCGCACGCTAGGGCTCGGCCACAGGCCGCACAGCAGCCGCGGCAGGAGCCCTGGGAAGGGCTTGGGGAGGGCGGGGGAGGGCTGGAGGGCCGCGGGGCTGCTGCAGACAAGCATGTGCAAAGTGCAGGCTGCCAGGTGGCAGGAGAACATTCGCTGGGGGAAAGGGGTTTGTCTCAAATGCAGTACTGGGGGAGGAGGTCTGAGATCTTGGCTCCAGGGAAGAGGCCGCCAGCGGGTCCCCGGAACAAAGGAAAGGGGTAGCTGAAGCACTAAGCAGCCAGAGGGCCGTGGTGACAGGAGTCTGGGGCAAACTGCTCCCCAGCAAGGGCAAGGGGGTGACAAAGCCCTATCAGGACACAGCTGAGCTGGTGCTCCTGGAGGGGAGGACGGGGCGGGCAGCCACACGCCGGCTCCGGGTCCTGCACGCAGGAGCTGCTGCGTGGCTTGCCGAGGGCCACGTCATCTCCAGCTGGCAGTCCTGGCGTCTGTCTTCCCACCTGCTTCGTGGGCCTGCATGTCCTGCCCTCTAGTGGTTCAGAGGAGAATATTCACAGTGGTATCCGGGCCCTGACCCGCCAGGAGGGTCTGGCAGGACTGGACAGGACAATGGAATGTGCTGTGGGGCTGGCGCAGGCACAGATGAGATGCGGCGAGGGGCGAGCCGAGGGGCAGTCCCTCGTGGAATGACAGTCTGGACTCCCCGAAGGAAGGGCCCTTCTCCGCTCCTCAATGGCTTTCAATCACGACTGGCTCGTAGACCCCAGAGGAGACCCTGGGGGAGGGCGAGAGTCAGGTCAGCTTGTCCTGACACAGTGGGCCAAGCCTTTGAGAGTCCCCCCTAAGGACTGTGAACTGGCCCCTCTCTGCAGGAAACTGAGGCTCAGAGAAGCTGGGCCACTTGCCCAGGGTGACCGGCCAGTGCTGGAGTCTGGGAGGCAGGCGGCACAGGTGTTGTCCCCACCCTTTCTGGGCACTGGCGACTTGCACCTCGCCCGTGCTGCCCTCGTCCTCACAGGCACTGTGCCAGCCCCGCCAGATGAAGAAACAGACAGCGGGGTCGTGAGGCTTGCCAAGAGGGCGCAGGAGGGAGGGGAGCCTGATGGGCCACCTCCCGGCCGAGGCCACGTCTACCCAGGGGTGGACACTCTTGGCTTGGCAGACAGCTCTGCTAAGACCTTGCTGCCGGTCTGCTAGGTTGGGCTTATCCCTCCTGGACCAGTCTCATCATCTGTGGGAGGCAGAAGGGTGGGGTGTCCAAGCCTCGGACGCCCACTACTCTCGCGCAGCCCACACAGGTCAGCCTGGAGGCTGTGGGGAGCTGGTGGTGCGATTCCAAGCCCCAGCCAGCAGGGGTAGGCAGAGCAGCATGGGGTGGCCCTGGACCCTGCCAAGTCCCTGGGGGGTGTCAATGGTGCTTTCCCACCAGGCCCCATGAGCCTGGCGCAAAGCCTTCTGCACAAGGGTAGCTCTTCACTGACACGCTCACTCAGCGAGCCGGGCAGAGCGAGAAACGCGCCGTAAGCAAATGAGGCCAGCCCTCAGGGGGTCGAGCAGGCTGCCCTGCCACCCCTGGCCCGCGAGCGAGCGTGAAGCAGGCAGAAATGTGCTGCTCACGGCCGTCTCCCCGGCACTCAGCTCAGGGCCTGCTGCACTGCGGGTCCTCGATAAACAGCAGGAAGGCATTTTTTAGGGGCTGCAGCTCTAGAAGGAAAGGAAAGGAGGGGCCAGAACAAAGGGCCGACCAGCAGGGCCTGTCCCGGGCTCCGGGTGACGTGGTGTGCGCCACACCGCACGGACGGGGAGACTGAGATTCAAGGAGACGTCGCCAAGGAGAAGTTCAAGGCTGAGGTCGCCCCGTGGTGCCAAGGCATGGCACTCGGAGGCCGGTGCGAACGGCTGCCCGGTGTGGTCCCGCCGACCCGTCCCTACCTGTTGGCCAGCTGAATGCCACTGAGCGTGGTGGAGCCGTCGCGGCTCACAAACAGCCGGAGGTTGCTATCTGTGGGGACACGGGAGAAAGGGGCTGAGTGGGGCGGGGCAGTGTCGGGGGCTGTGCCCAGGTCACCCGCGCGGCCAGCGCACCCTCTGTGTTGCTGCCGTCCGTGAAGTCCTGGCTCTGCACGATCTTCTCCACGATGGCGTCCGCGTCGATACGCGTGTCGTCCACCCAGGTCGGGTGGCTCTCCACTGAGTCTTTCTTGCGCCTGTCGGGGGACAGCGGCTCAGTGAGGCATGGCGCTCAGGCTAGAGCCCTCACGGGGCCCTGAGGGGCAGGGGCGCGTCGCCCCGGCCTCCCCGGAGGACACAGAGGCTCCGGCAGGCTCAGCAGCCAGCCCAGGGCCGCTCCCCCAGGCCGTGGAGGGCCGCAAGCCCAGCCCCAGCCTGACGGGCGCTGTGGACGGACACGCTGGACCCCACACGGCAGCCGCTAAGTGGGCGTGAGCACTGGCGGCCAGGCCACGGCCTTCGCGAACATCAGCTGGGGCCTGGTCACCAGCCAGCCCGAGGAGCGGTCCCTGGTGCCCTGTGCTGTGGGCAAAGCCGCAGAGATTCGGGGAGCCCCCCAGGTCTGTCCTCCAGAACAGAGCAGGACTCACCGAAACGAGCGGTCCGACAGGTGGGGGGGCCGCGGGGGCCGTGGTGGCTTCTCGGGGGGCCGGTGCTCGCGCTCACTGCCCTCGGGCCCCTCCACAGCCATGCTGAGGCCGCCAGAGGCACTGCTGCTGGTGGACGTGTTGCGCCGGTGCGTCAAGTCCGAAAGACTGGAGGAGCGCGAGTGCTCCGTGCTGCAGCCTGGCGGGCGGGCGGCGGCTCGTGACCGGGGGCCGGGGGATGTGCACAGCCAGGGCGGGCCCAGCGGCCACTCACCTGAGACCCTGGACTGCTGGCTGGCATAGCTGGAGTTGCGGGAGTGGCCAGAGTGGAACACCTCCTCAGGGCTGGACAGGTTCTGGTCGGGCTCCTCCGGCACCCCTAGGAGGCAGGCAGGGCAGGGTGACTGGGGGCTCGCCCTCACCCCTCGTGGTCTCCTCAGCTTACTGGGGCTGGGGTCAGGCACTGTGCATTTCCATTGTAACAGACTGAAAATCTGAGGTTCAGGGTGCAGTAGCCTGCCCCAGCTCACCCTCTGGGCCAGTGCGTCCAGTTTGAAGACAGCCCTTGGGCCCCTGCCCTGCAGAGGGGCTCTACTGGGGACGTGGGCTAGAGATGGGGTCACAGGCCAGGGGAGAGGAAGAGCGACCCGCTGACCCCACTGCGGTGCAGCTGGCGGTCAGGCCAGGTCTGGGTCAGGGAAGGCTTCCCTGGGGAGGTGGCCTTCGTGGGCGCCCCAAGTCAGACGAGGCATCAGGAAAGCCCCTCCCAGACAGGGAAGGCAGGAGCACAGGCCTCATGGCCGAGGCACCTGCCTGAGGTAGAGTAGCTGGAGCGCCACATAAGGCCAAGGGAGTGGCCAAGTCCCCAAAGAGCCCATTTTGAAAACAAACTCTGAGCACCCCTGCAAGAGGCACAAGCCACCATCCAGTCCACCCGGGGCCGGGGCGTCCCCGCCCACCCGCCCTCCCAGCCGGGGTGGGGGTGGCACACCCCCACAGCTGATGCCCAGGCCTGCAGTCACTGGGCTTGCCAAGTCCCCAGGAGGGTCTCTGCAGAGCGGGGTGGCGCTGTAGGGAGGGCAGGCGCCGAGGGGCACGCGAGGCCCCCGTGTGAGGAGGGCTGCACGGGCACCCAGGGCCCCCACCCTGCGTGGAGCTCTCGGGCCAGGGCAGGCAAGAACCCAGCGCTCTGCTCCGGGCCTGCTGTCCGCAGGAAACTGGAGGGGAGAGGACCGACGGCCCGAGCACACCGCCAGCCGGAGGCACCAGAGGGGCCGCACAGATCAGGGTCCCCGCCAGCCTCCCGGCTCTGCGCTGCCCGACCCATCCTGGGAGGGCGCAGGAGCCAAGCAGCTCCCATCTTGGGGCAACGGCTTCCCTTGCAGAGCACTAGACGCCAGGAGGGGCCCCAACTGCAGCCCCTCAGGCACGTGGGGCTCAGTCCTTCCCCAGCAAAGGGTGCAGCTCCATCACGGATCCCCCGCACAGGGAGGACGGGGAGACCGGCGCGAGGACCAGAGCAGGGGCGCACAGGGTCCCCCGCTCGCCTCCTCGGTGGGCGTCGTGCCCGAATGTCTGACGCTGCCTCCCCCACGCGGCCACGCGGCCAGGCCTGCTCCGGGGCTCCGCGGGGCCCTGGCACACCGTGGCGGTGACGGCCTTCAGCAATGGTGGCTGGGCACACTACCTGAGCTGAGGATGGTGGGCCGGGCCTTGGGGGGCCGGGACCCCGTCAGGGAGTTGGCGTTGCTCTTGCCACTGCTGCTGGTCCCGCCACCTTTACACGTCAGCTGCAGGGAGGAGTCCTGGCCTGGGACGGAGATGGACTTGGCAGTGGACGGCGGCCTGGAGAGGGCAGGTGGGTGTGACTGGAGTGGCCCACCCTCAGGGCTGATGAGGACAGTTGCCCCAGAGCCTGGCGGAGCCAATATCTGCCTGCCCCCCCGCCCCCGGCAGCAGTGACGGCACTCACGTCTTGAAGCAGGGGTCCCCAGAGAGCAGGAACATCCCAATGGTGACCTGTGGGAAAGGGAGGCTCACCACGCCGTGCCCAGCACCCAGACCAGGCTCCGTTCTCCCATGTCCGCCCTGCACGGCCGTCCAAGGCCCCAGGGCCTTGCTGCAGCCATCTCCTCTTGTGGAAAACGGAGCCCCCCGAACTCTAGCCGATGGGGGCGCAGTGCGGCTCCAGGAGCCTCCTTTCTGCCCAACTCCGCCAGGCTGCACCTCGGGGCACTGGGACAAGCTGACTGGGGGCCACTATCTCAGGGGCTTCCAAGCAGCTTCTGCTGGGTCCTGGTTTTAAAGTGACAGTTGCAACCTTGTACCCCACTCTGCAAGGGGTACCAGAGGGCCCAGGAGGCCCCAGAGCCCTGCCCACCACCTCCTGCTCCCCCTACTCTGGGCACACACCCCCCGGCCCCCACCAGGGTCATTCACAGAGGGGTGGTTGGGACGACTTCCTCAGCCAGGTTTGTCTGACCCAAGAGGGCAGAGGGGGAGGGACCTGCCGGCCGGTGTCTGTGGTCTCGGTCCACCGGGCCCTGGACAAGAGGCCCCTCTCTCTCACGGACACACGGGGGCTCCAGCTGGTGGTGAGGGGTGAGGCGGGGCCGCAGGCAGGACTGCACGGAGTCATCCAGCTGGGCCAAGCTCTCCTGGGGTCCTGAGTCTGCGGCTCTCCCACCCCAGCTCCAGCCCGTCACAACACTGGACAAGCCGCCCCTAAGCACCCGGGGTGAGGGGGTGCGAGCACTTGGAAATGCCGGTGCTCAACAGAACCTCAACAGAACCTCCATGCCCCGGCCCCCAACTGTGGGTGGGGAAACTGAGGCCAGGGGCTATGCCAGGCCTCTGATGGTGGTTTCCTGACCCGAGAGCCCATGTCTCCACAGGGCCTCTCACTGCCCGCACAAGGCTGAGACCCTGCATTTCCAACAACCCTCCCGGCGGGGGCAGGCCTCTGCCAGAGCTGGGGTGGGAGAGGCAGCGATGCCGGCACCTTGAGGATGGAGTTGTCCTGGCGCGTGTTCTTCGTGTCGTAGCCCTCTAGCAGGCAGCAGCGCCCTGTGGAGCCCGAGCCTGCAAACTCAGCCAGGTTCAGGTCGGCGAAGCCCAGCTGGAAGGACAGAGGAACACGGTGCAGGGCTGCCACACAGGGTTAATCTGCGACGCGGGAGGGAGCGGCAGGCACGTCCCTGGGCCCGCCCACAGCCCAGACCTCTGCTGCATAACCAGCACCCAAGGACAGAGGCCCTGGCTGGCAGCTCCGACGTGGCAAAGTCAGGAGCTCACATCCCCTAGACACACAAAGCACCCTTTGTGCCGCGTCCCAGCATGCACCGGGGCAGCGTCTGAGATGAAAGAACATTGTTGTCTGTCACACAGACACATTGTCCCCCAGGAAACAAGGCCGGTGCTGTCGGGAGCCGCCAGGCCAGTGGGCAAGGGAGGAGGGAAAGCCTGTGGGAACTTGGCATGGCGGGGGGACAGGCGGCCAGGGGAGGGGCACGCTGCAGGGTGGACAGAAGACCCTCGTGGGAGCCGAGGAGGGAACTCCTGGCTGACCCTGGGACAAGAGAGGAGGAAAGGGTGGGAGGGAGGAACAGGAGGCATGAGTCAAGAAGCCTCCTGGATGGGAGCCAAGTCTAAAAGGTTGGGAATGAGGGAAACTGAGGCTATGGCGAGGGGTGCTACATTAGGGACTTGGGGGACAACCAAACCAACTAAAGATATTTATGGAGTATGTGCTGAATGTGTGTCTCTGCTGCAGGGTTTAGAGGCGCACGCACCTTTGGGTCCAGACCACAGCCCTGCCAGCCAACTCTGACCCGGCGTGCAGACATGGGCATAAAGGCTCAGGGAAGGCCCCCACAGCTAACCCGCAGAGCCAAGGTTGGAGGTGGGGCCCACATGGCACCTCGGTGGGCCCGTTTCCTCCTCAGTGTAATGGGGGCAAAGCCTGGGTGGGGTCTGACCAGGAGGGGCAGGGAGGGGCCTGTAGGCCTAACTCAGCTGGCGGAGGTGGGGTGGCCAGCAGTTTGCGGGCACTCCTGGCGGAAAGCTGTCCTCACCTGTGAGAACCAGAGGGAGGTGGGGTTTCCACCCTCACAGCACCTTCTGCAGCTCGCTTCCAGCCACCCTGCCCTGCTGCTGGAGGGGGCTGACGTCCGCACTCCGGCCAGGGCAAAGCACTGGGCCATCTATGGCACTTCCTGAGCTCAGGCTGGTGGGAAGGGCCACGCTGCACATGGGTGCACAGGCCTCCACCAGGGTGAAGCGAGGCACCGCGGGGTCCTTGGGGCAGACAGAGCCACCACCTGTCCCCTGGCCACCTCCCCCAGCGCTGAGGGGGGCCCCACTGTCCCCAGGGAGAAGCAAAGGGTGTAGGCCTGAGCAGGCCTATCGAAGTCAGGGGCCTGTGCAGAGCTGCCGCGCCCGACCTCCCAGTGGGAATGGCTGAGTGTAGAGCCCTGGGCTGAAGGGTGAGCTGGAAGGTGACCGCAGTCCCTGGTCTGAAACAGCGGGACCAGCTAGTCCCTGTCACCTAGCACCACAGGACACTGCGGCCGCTAGGAAGCACAAAGACATTTGCAGGGACATGAAAAGATGCTTGTGATGTGCCAGGAATGAAAAAGCCAAGGTGAGTCTATCTGGACTCTAAATGCCCTCCCGTGCGTTTAAGAGTTCTATGTCCATGTGCGCACAGCGCCCTGCCCGAAGCACACATCTCTCTTGTGCGTGCATTTGTCCACTCTGGTCTGCTCTGCACTAGGACAGTGTCCCCCGCGGTCGCTTCTCAGAAGATACGCAAAGACGCAGAGGTGTCAAGCGGTGGGCGGGTCTGGGGAGCAAGGGAGTGGAAATGCGCCTTCCTTCCCTGCCACATGTGGCGTGTGGAGAAGACGCTGCCTCTCCACCACACGGGGTCAGGACTCCCCCACACGCTCCTTCCCACGGAGGCTGCGCAGGTCCTTCTGGGGGCCCCTCCCGGGCACGGCCTGCCCCAGCCCAGCCATGCGCCCGCCGCGGCTCCGCCCCACTTACCTTGGAATACGCCTTCCCGCCCTTCAGCTCCTGTTCGGGGACAGACACAGCAGCAGGTGACAAGGAATCCCAGGGACCTCAGGGGTTGCCCAGTTCCCCCCAATCTAATTGCCAGGGGAGGAGGGCAGGGACCGGGGGCAGACCCGGGGTGGGCCGAGACGCCTCGCAGCACAGGCTGCGGGCTCCCAACTGCGGCCGGGCCTCACCTTGCGCACGGACACGCGGAAGACGCAGGGGTCCAGCAGGCCGGTGGCCGGGTTGGCGCTCATCTTACACACGAAGGTGAACCTCCTCCGCCACCGCACACAGTTCTCCTGCACCTCCTCCCTGGGGACCAGATGGGGCAGGTGAGCCTAAGTGAGGCCAGGGCGTGGGGGGTGGGGGGGCTGCAGGGAGGGGAGCTCTCATTCTTCACTTTGTATCACAAAGTGACTGTATTTTCATAACAAGAATGTGCTTGCATAAGTGCTGTGAAAACAAAAAATGCCTAATAAAAACCAAAAAAGCATAAGGGTGAGTTCAGGCTGGGGACAGCTGCCCCCACCCCACCCCCACGGCCCTGTGGCTGGGGCCTCCTTCAGCCGGGCTCCCTGCTCCTCTGCTCTGGAATGCGGCTGTGGCTGCCTCACCCAGCATGAGCCGAGGCTAGGGAACCTGTCCCAGGCCCAGCCAGTCCTGAGCCCCGAGGCCCAGGCTGCAGCCCCCTCTTCACCCACCGACGCGGCACCAGCTGAGCACGCAAAAGCACCTGTGCAGCCTGCTCCCGGCTGGAGATCCGTGACTGCACTTCCAGCAGCGGTGGGGGCCCCCACCATTACCCCAGCCCGCACGGGGTGGAAGCCGCAGCTGTCCCGCAGGCCCCGCGGGCAGCCTGGCTCCAGAGCCACAGGCAGGACCCTTGCCATGGCGGGCGAGGCTGAGGCCGGCCTGGGATGCTCACTGCACAGCCAAGCCCAAAGCTCGGTGTACCCACCACTGGGAGGCAACCACGTGCCTGGGCGTGAGTGGGAGCAGCTCCCCTGAGCCTCTCCCAGCTGCTGGAGGGCCTGGGGGTGGCGAGGAGCAGAGACAGCTTCCCAGCCCTGCCAGCTCCCATCCCCCCACACCCCCAGCAGCCTGCTTAGGAAGGGACCCGGCGCGGAAGGGAGGGGCAGCTGGAGAGGTCTTATCTCCAGCCTCATCCCACCTGACAGGAACCGCCAAGCAAACAGCTGAGGAAGTGACCTCTCCACACCCCAGGGACCCAGGAGCCGGTCAGCTGCCAGGAGCCCGAGGGTGGGGAGTCAGCGAAAGCAGGTACCTCCTGTTTGCTTTTCATGGACTGGAGGCAGCACGACACCACCCTCTCCCACAGCAGAGGGCACCGAGCCTCCAAGAACGGCCCCCACTCCTGAGAAACGAGGCAGGGGTTGAGCCCAAGACTGTCTGCCACAGTCAAGCACTCAGCCAAGCCCAGCACGAGAGCGCGGCAGGAGGTCTCTGGGGCTGTGGGGCCTGGCGTGCCCACTATGCACCAGAGGTGCCAGCCCCATCGTCCTCAGGCCAGCCCACATCCCCATCTTTATTAACCAAATGACAGCCACCCTAGGTGGCTCAGTGTCACCAGCAGAGGGTGGAGGGAAGGTGAGTCAGGGGAGATGACCGGTGGCTGGGAAGTGACAGTCAAGCTCAGGCCCAAAGTGAGGAGCTGCTGGGGGGGGGGGGGGGGTGACTTTCAAAGTCCGGGGGCAGCATGAGTGAGGCGGGAGCGCGCTCCCCTTTCCTCAGCAGGTGAGAGCTGAGCCTTGGCCGCCATGAGGAGCCCGTCCGTGGCTGTTCCCGCTCGACCTCGCCACCCGCGGGAGGGGCAGGCCCGACACCCACTGGCGGGCGGGCACTGGTGAGCCTACGAAGGCTCCGGCCTGGGAGGGTCTTATTTGATGAAGACTCGGGATCTAGGGGGGCTCCGTCACCACAAGGCCCCACGTGATTAGGAGGGCAAGTTCCTGCAACGCCGTGTCCCCAAGACGGGGGACACACAGAGAAGGGCGGGGCGAGAGAGAAAGGCTGGGAAGGGAGAGGCCCGGGGGCCGGCAGACGGGGCTGGCACCCGGGACTCAGGCGCCACAGGAGGCGCAGCAGCGACTCTCACCCCTCCGCGGAGTCACGAGCGCCACGCCAGTCTGGTTCCGACACGCGGACCAGGGAGGCGAGCGCTTCGTTCTGGTGGGAGGAGAAAGAGGAGCTCAAACAAGAAAAACACATCGTGGTGGAAAGAACCGAAACTACTGGCAGATACTCTCTGTGGAGAAGGCTAAGGAACCACTAAAGAAAAACTACTACAATACACGGATCTGGGCCCTCCCTGCCGGCACAACAGGTGGAAGAGCAGCACTGCGCAGCTGGCCACAGCCACCGCAGCCACCGCAGCATGAGTCCGTCCCCGGCCAGGGAGGGCCCCCAGGGCGCAGCAGACCTCCCCAGTCTCCCCACTGCTCCCCTCGGCAGTGGATTTCAGCACATCTGCCTGATCTGCTCCCCACTCTGTCTCTGGTGAACCCTCTCACTATACTTGCACCTCTGGTCTGTACCCCAGTTCTGTATAAATAAATAAATTTTTAAAAAATATACACAAATTTGTCAAGGGTGCAGGATACAAGCTGTAAGCACTAAAAAAGAAAAATATGTAATAATAAATTCAGCAAAAGAAACATAAAACATTACTGAAAGAAATTCAAGAAGATCTAAATGAGGGAAAGACATCTCACAGTCAGACCTGAAGATTTCCTCTCCCTGCGGAGACAATACTCCCAGATTGATCTAAAAATTCAACACCGTCCCTATCTGGGCCTCAGCTAAGCTTCCTTGCAGAAATTTGACAAACTGACCCTAAACCTTTATGTGGAAACTCAAGGGACCCAGATGGTCAAAAAGTCTAGAAAAAGAGGTATGTAACTGAAGCATTCACGTCTTGATCTCAAAACCGCGTGGCTAAACAACAGCAAGCGTTGGCGTTGGCGTGGTGAGAAGCAGCTCTCCTGCGCGGCTGGGGGAGGGCAAGCCGGCCCCGCCGCTATGGACGGTGTGGAGCTTCCTCAGACTGCGAAAGATGGAGCTTCCAGAGGCCCAGGGCACTGGGTATCTGCCCAGAGGACACGAAAACACTGATTCCAAAGGACACCCGCACTCCTGTGTTTGCCGCAGCCCTGGTCACGACAGTAAAACCGGGCACAACCCACACGCCCGAAAGTGGGCGCCCGGATCAAGACGGGTACAGACAGCGGGGAATACCCTCAGCCCCCACAAACATCTGCTCGTGCCATTCGCAGCAACATGATGGAGCCCGAAGGGGCCACGCTCAGTGAAATAAGTTAGAAGGAAGAAATGTGTTGGATGGTTTCATTTCTAGGAGGAATAAAGGGAGCCAAGTAAGACATAAAGGAAAAAATAAAAACAATACAAAACACAACAACCCAAACAAAAGCAGCCAATTATAACCCGGAGGGAGCGGGAGAGGGGTCGGGAGGAGGGGCGAGGCGCACCGGGACTGTGGTGATGGCAGCTGAGCAAACCGGGGACATGCTACGTGGTCTGCACCTCGGGGCGAACACTGCTTTACAATGAGCAGTGATGTCCCACCATCTTTAAAAAGCCTGCAGGGCCGTCATGACCCTAAAGGTGCGGTTCTGGCTCCACCGACAGAGGGTATGGACTGGGGCGGAGTCCAGGGAAAATCCCCGCCCTGCGTGTCGGCAGGGGAAAGAGCAGTCTCAGCACAGGTTGCTGGGTGTGCCGGCATCCGGGTTAGTATGCACAAGGATGAAGTGGGTCCATTTCTCACACCAAATACAGTAAATTCAGCTTCAGAGCTCAGGCTGTCGCGCGCAGTCTGGGTCAGCTTCACGCGCTGGTGTCCTAGGTGACACCGGAGGTACAGGCGACAACAGGCACAGCGGTGCGACGGACTGCAGTGAACACGTGACGCGAAGAACCCGACCAAGAAAATGAAAAACCCGCAGAATGAAGGAAAAGACTTGCAAATTACATACATGAGGGACATAGGAGCACTTACGGCTTCAGTAACATAAGGACAAATAATTCCATTTAAAAATGGGCAAATGACCTCCCTGGACATTCCTCCACAGGACTGCTATACATGGCCAGTAAGCACACGAGAAACTGCCTAACAGAACAGCCACCTGACCGCACAAGGCAGGGCGGGCAGAGGGTCGGCCAGTGCCAGCCTGCGAGTCTGACAGTGGCTGTCTCGCTCAGGCCTCTAAGCCTTCGGGAAGAGGCAGAGAGCGGCATGACGGTGCAGGGGGAGGGCAGTCAGATGCCCAAGTTTGCAAGAGGACACCGAGGGGTGACCACAGTCCCCATGTGGACCCTCAGATTTCCTCCCACTCTGACCCCTCCCAGGAGGTAAAAGCAGCTGCTGCAGATCTGGGAAGAAAGTTTACTGCGCAAGCAGACGCACCCAGAGGAGCTGGGATTAGTGTCTGGAACAAAAGCTGACCGACTGTGGGTTTTCTCCTTTGTGAGCTGTGGGAATGCCAGGCAGGAAGCCCGGGGCCTGTTCTGGTTCCTGCGGGCTAAGCAGGTCAGGCCAGAGAAAGCCATGGGGCGTCCTCAGGGGCTCAGGTAACAGGAAGGGAGGCAGGCGGGGCCCAGGGTTGGGCGCTGGGCCTCCCTCTAGTTTCCACAGGGCTCTAAACACACACTATTAAACCCACCACTCCCATGGGGGAGGGGGATGCCGGGGTGGGGGGGGGCGGACTTGCAGCCTGACCCAGATCACAGCAGGGGTAGAATAAACACTGCAGCTGCAGCCATTTCCTGCTGGCCCACTGGGTGCCACCTATGGGTGCTCTTCCAGGTCGAAGGCTCGGCGGCCCACCTTCCAGATGAGGGTCAGGGGGGTGGCCTAGCGCACCCACAGACGGAACTGCTGGAGCCAGGCCCATCAGTGCGCAGAGCCGGCGACCCAGAGCCAGGCCCAGCCCCGCTGACGCCTTCTGGGCCCCTCTGGACGAGGGAGCTAGGTCCCCACGGTCAGTGGTGGGGGCCCAGGGGAGAGGGGCAGGTGGGCATGTGCCCAGGTGGGAGCTGGCAGGTTTCAGGAAATTCCAAGGCTTCTAATTCACTCAAAAACCTTCCATGAAGCGTTTACCACGTGCCAAGTACGGCTGAAGGCCCTGGGACGGAAGCAGTGGCCAGGACGGAAAGCCTTGCCTTGCCATCGGGGGCTGGAGCCGGGCAGTGGCAGGAGCCCGACAGAACGAGGCTGACACCGCTGGAAGCCGGCAGGCAGTCAGCCCCACAGCAGAGAACGAGGCCCTGCGCCC